GTATCTTGTGATTTTTCGATTAAATCATTTTTTTCTGGTAGAAAACATCGTTCGTGTTTTTATAAAATGATATCATGAAATATTTTTTCCTATGTTTTTTGCTAGCTGAATGTTTGTATTTAAAAAACTGCGTCAGAAATAAAAAATTAAACAAAGTACTACTACTACAAAGTTTAAAGTATTATCTAGACAACTTGAACTTTCAGAAAATGTACTACATTTATACATCGAAGCAAGTTTACTAGGAAAAAACGTAGGATACGAATCCACGGACTAGAAGAAAGAAAAAAAAGAAATAAAAAGCATTGCAAAACCAATAGCTCTTTTACTACGCTTGGAATCTAAAATGAACCTTACATGAAATGAATATAAAAAAAATCAATATCGTATCGAGACCTTCATATTATAAGCTTCCATAGGTACTCTTGAAAGTCGGATTTTAAGTTAGTGAAATATTCGGTTACATAATCCAGGCACGGATTGTAATACCATATTGGTTATTATGATTTATTAACATTTGTGAAATAGTATAAAACCATATTACTATTATAAAAAAAAAAACTAACATAGAAATGTTTACAATATTACATAACCGAAAAATGAATACATAATATTTATGATATTTGCATTCTTATTGTTAATGAAAAATATTTATACTTTAAGCTCAATCAAACATTTTACAAGAATTTTAAACTCAAACCAAATTTATTCTCGCTGTGGTTACTGCAGCCGTTACGTAATTTTATATAGTCTGCATTTGACTAGAATAATATTTTAGATAATTATATATGTACATACAAAATAAATTTTATAAAAAAAATATTTCGCCATTGAAAAGCTGTGTAGACATGTATGCCAGTTTAAGAACACTATTATAATATATGCTTAAGACGGAGAACCAATACAAACATTATTGATATTATCTTGAAAATTAAACTACATTTCACATTATAATAAATTTGTATTAAGGTAAGAGCATGAAAATATTTTTTCAAGTAGGTATATGATCTTGTCTGCAGTAGGAAATTTTAATTTATTAATTAAAACATACAATTATAGTACTATAATATTGCAAAGCTGGAATTTTGAATTAAAAGTAAAAGCCAGAGGAGTGGCATTGAGATAAAATCAAAAATTTTCGAATATTGTGAATTTTGATCACAATAAAACTCCAAATAAAAAATATTATGTATTAAAGAATAAAATAGTATTTTTAGAACTTTTTTAGTACCTTATTTAATTTATTATTGGGTACACTAATTATTAAAATAAGAAGAAAAATTATGTAATTGTTTCGAATATTTCACAGCGTTAAACCATTGTTTTATTGACCTCGGCCATACTTAAGTTAAATTAAAACCTATACTTATTGCAAGCTGCACTTGCGGTTCAGCTTTAAAGAGCAGAGTTTAAATTATTTAATGATTTTTAATGGTAGAACAATAATTAAACGATGCATTTTCAATAAGCTCCACGCAAGGTGAACAGTAATAATCGTGGTTGAAAGTTTGTAATTAAAATTCCTGTAGAATTTCATTAAATAACTCTGATTAAAGAAACTTCTCAAGGTATTAGGTAAGTAGGTAGGTAAAATATATCACGTTACCATTTGACGTTTACCACTCGTATAATATTTTAGTTTAATCTCGAAAAATAAAATTGTTATTATGGTTCTATTAATGTTTCTATTAATATTTTATAATGCAAACTAAATATTAATTTGTTTTATTGAAATGAAAAATTTATGTTGCCGGAAAAATTAGCAATTTATTTAAGAATTGATACCTAACAATATTCCTAATGAGGTTAGGAAATTATATACTTTCCGTTGATTATTAGGCAAAATATTAACAGGCTTTTCCACTCTTTAATAAATATGTTACATTAATAATATGAAAAAAATCCTTTTGTAAAATGTTAATGTATATGAATAAAAATTGGGTCAGGTGCCACCACTGTTATAGATAATTAAATGTATATCTGTAAAAACGATAAACCATTGCTTACGAAACAATGATTCTGAGTGGAGTTCAATTGATAATGATGCTTTGTCAATAATATAAGTTGTCATTTTACATATACATGTCATTTTATAGTAAAACAATTAAACAGGCTTTATATATTTTCTTTAGTAATATTTGTTTAATGTTGTGTCGATTTTCCTAAAATACTTACGTTTTTCCCGTTATACCCTTGTTTTTTTCTGGTTTTAAAATTTTTTGAAAAATTCGAAAAATTACTTCTCTTAAGTACCTTTCTAATGAAATTTCCTTTTAGAAAAAGAAACGGGAAAATTGACGAAATATAATAAACATAATTTAAATTTTTTTTTTTCTGTGGACAACTTTTCTACCAGAAATTTTACTCAAACTTTTATAATAGCAATGTTTCAAAAAGAAAACTTCACTAAGTTGGTACTTTAAAAAGGTAACTTTTTTCTTTTTCCATAGAGTTCTCTCAACATATATGAAAACCCGAGATAAAACATGGGGAAACCGGGTAAAACGTAGAAAAATTGGGAAAATCGATACAACATTGACCAAATATTATTAAAGAAAATATATAAAGTCTATTTAATTATTTCACTATAAAATGACATATGTATTGTTGACAAAGCATCACTATTAACTGAACTCCGCTCAGAATAATTTTTTTTATAAGCAATGTTTTATCGTTACTTACAGATATATGTTAAATTCCCGTCTATTTCCTACCTTTCCAACTTCCCACCTACATCATAGGCTGCAAATACTATTTCCATCTGTAGCTAATATTTATATACAATTATAATCATTTCCTGCTATCATAGGGAATTCATAACATTTTCTAGGTAACTAATTTATTTATGGTAAATTGTTTCTTGTCGTATTAGGAGCTAACATAATTTCCTAGGGTTTGTCATAATATCTTAATCATTATAGCTAATAAATGATTATGAGTGGAGTTCGAAAATTTAGTGTCATTATTGAGTCAAATTTAAACAAAAAAAACTGTTAAATAAATTGTTTAAATATAATACGAGTACCGCTGGTGAAAAAATCTCGATCTGTTAAGGTATAAGATGAAGAACATTAAACATTTTTACAAAGCGAAAACGTATTATCCGGAAAAAAACTATTTTAGAAAACTAAGATTTTTTTCAGTACAATCCGAATCTAAAAAAAAGAGTTAATAATATTAAAAAATGTTAGGTTAGAAATAAGAATAAGAGTAGGTACCTGCTTACATTTATTATTGAGGTAAAACTAATAATAACATGTTTTAATATCTTGAGTTCGTATTCTAATATTTTCTTTAAGCAAACAAATTTTTAATTCACATTTTTATTTTTAATATTTTTTTTAAACGCAAATGAAATGTTAGTTTTTTTGTCGTTACACGAGTATTTTCTTAAGATACTTAAATAATCGAAATAGTTGTTTACGTTTATTTTTTATATATACTATAAACATTATACACTTTAATTATTTGAGATGCGAATACTACAGAGAATGTTCATTATTATACTCTTTGACTGAATATTAACATATTAAAAATATTGAGAAAGTTTTAAATTATTTTTATGAAATATTTTAATATTAATAGCAATTATATTATTGTGTACATTGTGTATTAAGGGACGTATTTTCTAATCGATACATCCTCGTTGCTTTTCACAAATTGTTAATGATTAGAATTTACAAAATATAACATATATCAAAAACAGTTCAATCAGTTTTAATTTTTATAATAAGGGACTTGCACACAATTTGTTTTATTTTTTTTTTCTTGGCTCAAAATATACTTTACAAGACAAAAACCTATGCCACATAGAGTGATCCGATTAAGATGGTTTTTTTTTTTTTAATGAAAAGAAAATCATTCTTACAAATCCCGTTGGACTTCAATGTTTAATAACGTAACAAAAAATCAGGAAACAGATCGAAAAAAAAATCCTAAGATAATGGGAACAGATGCAGCCACTATTGTAGGTAATTTAATGTATATCTGTAAGCTACGGAGTTTAGTTGATAGTAATGCTTTGTCAACAATATTATATGTCATTTTATAGTAAAATATTTAAATAGACTTTATATACAGTGAGTGTAAAAAGTATTCGTAAACCCTACTTTTTTAAATAAATATACATTTTTCTTCATGATATTATATTTTTATCGATAAATTAATACATGCATATTATTCATTGACGATTTTTAATTATATTAAAAAAAAAAACCATGACAAATGTTATATTAATAATAATATTCAATAATAAACAAAAAAATACATATAAAATAGGAACAATATATATTCGTACACTTATATTTTAGTTACGGAATCACCTGTTTACTCACAATAATGTTATTAGAAAACGATAAGATATACAAAATGTCACATTAAAAGTTTGTCCCCGACCACGTTACAAGATTATACCAATTCAGTTAGCTTCGAAATATTATTGGAATATCTATCACAAAATGAGTCGAAAAAAATGCGAGACAAATAAAACTGAACGTGAACTAATTCTACGGTTGCATAATTAATGCCAATCATTACGTCAAATATCAAAAATTGTCAACAGAGCTCATAGCACTGTGAAAGACATGATAGATCGATACAGTTGAGCGGAAAAGTCACGAAAATAAGCAACGATCTGGTCGTCCGAAAAAACTTTTTGACCATGATAAACGTATAGTTTAACGAAAAGTCAAATTAAATCCAAAAATAAGCGCTCCTGAAATAGCACAAGATCTTGCGAATTTTTCTGGAGTACGTGTTTGTGTAAGTAAAATTAGAAATTGTTTAAAAAATAGTGATTATCATGGACTACTCGTCCAGCTACTCGCTCGTCGAAAATATTTTGTAAATAAAAATAATAGACAAAAGAGATTTGCTTTTGCAAGAGATAACTCACATCAATCTGTAACTTTTGGAACAATGTTATATTTATAGACGAAAGTAAATTTAATATTTTTGGCTCTGATGGAAGACGTTTTGTTTGGAGAAAAGTGAATACAGAAATGGAACCAAAGAATTTACAGCCTACAGTAAAATACGGAGGAGATTCTGTAATGGTTTGGGGATGTATGAGTGCTCAGGGTGTTGGAAACTTACACTTTATTGATGGAATTATGAACCAATATATTTATTTAAATAGTTTGAAGACAAATCTTGCAGCTAGTGCCGAAAAAATGGGCATCAAAGATGATTTCATATTTACACAGGACAATGATCCCAAGCATACTGCAAAAAAAGTTAAGGCTTGGTTGTCGAACAATGTAANATCACATTAAAAGTTTGTCCCCGATCACGTTACAAGATTAAACTAATTCAATTAGCTTCGAAATATTATTGGAATATCATCTATCAAAAAATAGAGTAGAAAAAAATGAGACAAATAAAACTGAACGTGAACTAATTCTGCGGTTGCATCATCAATGCCAATCATTACGTCAAATATCAAAAATTGTAAACAGAGCTCATAGCACTGTGAAAGACGTGATAGATCGATACAGTGAGTGGAAAAGTCACGAAAATAAGCAACGATCTGGTCGTCCAAAAAGCTTTCTGACCATGATAAACGTATAGTTTTACGAAAAGTCAAATTAAATCCAAAAATAAGCGCTCCTAAAATAGCACAAGATCTTGCGAATTTTTTGGAGTACGTGTTTGTGTAAGTAGAATTAGAAACTGTTTAAAAAATAGCGATTATCATGGACGAATAGCTCGAAGAAAATATTTTGTAAATAAAAAAAATAGACAAAAGAGATTTGCTTTTGCAAGAGATAACTTACATCAACTAATAACTTTTGAAACAAAGTTATATTTACTGACGAAAGTAAATTTAATATTTTTGGCTCTGAAGGAAGACGTTTTGTTTGGAGAAAAGCGAATATAGAAATGGAACCAAAGAATTTACAGCCTACAGTGAAATACGGAGGAGGTTCTGTAATGGTTTGGGGATGTATGAGTTCTCAGGGTGTTGGAAACTTGCACTTTATTGATGGAATTATGAACCAAAATATTTATTTAAATATTTGTATTATGTATTTTCTTTAATAATATTTGTTTAATGTTGTACCGATTTTTCCAGTTTTTCTACGTTTTTACCGGTTTTCCCATATTTATCCAAGTTTTTTACATTTGCTTGGAAAACTCCTAAGAAAATCGAAAAATTATATCTCTAAAGTACCTACCTAGAGATATTTTTCTTTAAGAAACATTGCTATCATTAAAAGTTGGGGCAAAATTGCTGATTGAAAAGTTGTGCACAGGAAAAAAAAAAATATTTTATTAGTACAGTAATACATGTTTCGGTTTTATTTTTTGATTTTTCAAATTTTATGGGAAACTGAAAAGTTCCTCCTTAAAGTACCTCCCCTTACCGATTTCCTTTCAGAAAAGATTCTATAAATCCGCAGACTTATAAATCCGAGCAAGTCTTCTGGTAGAAAAGTTGTTAGCAGTTAAAAAAAAAACTAAACATTTTTGTAAAACCATAAGCATCTTCTCTCCACTTGGAATATAAAGGTTCTTTAACACGTGTTTGTCACAATGGTTATCTTATACTATATAAGATGTATACATTATATATACCGAAAACTCACAAACAACTTTTGCAAAATATCTAATGCGGATGTGACAATAATATTCTAAAAACATATTCGATATTTTCGTTATGTATATATACTGAGAAAATCCGTCACTGACTATTAGGCAAGATTAAAAAGTAATATGAAGATTTATCTACTAAAGAGGCTGCGTTGCCATATAATTAACTTGGTAAAAAAGAATGAACAATTTTGGTTGAGGTTACGTGCTGGCCGAAGGAATATTAAAGTTAAGTTGTTCAAAGAATTTAGGGCAGTCATGATAGTCCCATTAACATATTTTCAAATAAACGTAATATCGAATTATTGTATTAAATACGATCATGCGGACATGATTCGTTTAATATACCAGTTGTTAATATATATTAAGGACCGACGATAGTTATAGTTATCTAGATAATGGTGAAATTAAAAAAAAAATAGACAAAACAATATACAATAACATAAACATCTGAACTCTAATATTAATAATTACCAATGCCGTGTAGGTTTTTTATTACTTCTGTAAGTGGTTATCTATAATACAATTACTACACTATTCAGTAAATATTTCCATAAAAAAATATACTTTTTTGCTTAAAAATGCTTTTAATTAAAATATACACACGTGCGCACACGCACACACACACACACACACACACACAAACACACAACACGCACACACATCACTGTTGCTTTCTAAAGTATTTTGATAACAATACAAATTTTAATTTATTTTAACATTTTTGGCCTCTGTACAATAATAAAACGTAAAGCGAACAAGAGGTGCAAAACCACCAATTCACCAAAAATGTTATCGCGTCTATATTTCCGTGGATATAATATAATGATTTTTGAATAAGTGCCAACGTGAGACCCCACCGCGACTTTCGGGATGTGAAACGTAGGTAACGGTACCAATAGGTTGCGCCGCTAGGTACGTGAGTAATTTTCGTGTTATTATCGTTCCTTGCGTTATCGTTTGGTATAATTTATTTTGATAGCCGTTTGCGAGAAAAGTGAAAACTCTCAGTCACGACGCGCGACGTACGCCGTATGTCCAATTATAATATTATAAGATGATGATATATTATGATACGATATACGATATCAACAAGTATCCGGTAATTTACTTCGTAGGGTATTAAGTGAATTTGATTTCTGTTTAATCATTAAAGAATTGTCCATGCTTTATTTTAACACTATTTCTAAATGTGTACCCAACCCTACTTTTTATACCTTGAATGAAGTATACACTTTGGATTATTAAATAGCAACTCCTCTTCATTTTAAACACAAATTCATACATACAGATTCATGTCTAAAAATAAATAATTTCATGAATATTGAATAAAAATAATAATATTACAAAAACAGAAACCGAATTTAATTAAAATTCTCCGAGAAAAATCATTGGATGACAATAAAAGAAGCACTCAATATAACATAATAGTATAAAGCACCGATGTACGGAACCAGTATAATATGCACGGCGTTTTTTAAACGATGCTGAACATACGTAACGTGAAAAATATGGGAATAAATATATTTTTGTTTTTCGAAAAAAAATACATAACCGACAAAGTCCGCACTCGGTGCATCGACGGTGGCGGTGGTAGTTTTGTTCCGCAGATTCAGTTTCGCGTGCGGTAAAATTTATTACGGCCATCGTTCTAGTCGCATTGTTTCCCATATTTACGCTCTACAACGGTCGTTTAACGATGTCCAGACCATTAATTTTTTTGCGTTATACCATCATCTAACCCCCTCGACTTAGTTGTATTTTTTTTTTTTTTTTTTTTACTATCCCTACAATACAGTAGTGTATACGCTCAACGAGTGTTCGTTTACAGTGTCCCGTATGTATGTACACAAACGTGTATAACAAGTATACACAAACACACACAAGTACGACATTATATCCGTTTTCTTTTGTTTGTTGATAATATGACGGGAGGAAAGGTGGAAGAAATAATAATAATCATCGTCATCATCGATTATTGTTAAGAAAAAATTTTTTCGCTCTATATTTTTCGAGCCATTATATTTCAAAAATCGTTTACGTTCGACTAGAACAGTGGTTCCAAACCGTTGGTCCACGTGTATGTCATTTGCGGTATTATCTAGTATTTTCTACAATATATTCTTGTGAGCGTGGATATTCAAGTATGCACTTAATAAAAATAACCAGAGAAATTGGTTAAACACAAGTGACACCCCGCGTATGAGCTCTGAGCTACTGCAGCAGTAATCTTCATCTAAGAATTTCACAATCGTTAAGGAAATCCAAGTATAAAAAATTACATTAAGTTATCATAAATTAAAATAAAAACTTGTTAACAATATTTAATCTTTTGAATTAAAATTATCCTTGTTTAAAAGTAAAAAAAAATCACGAATCAATGTGGTCCACGAATTGTCGAAATTTGTAAGAAATACTTCGTACTATCAACAAGGTTGAGAAACACTGGCGTAGAACATCACGATGGTTGCGACGGTCGTTTTTCCAACATTGTCATTTAATTATTTATAGTATAAAATATCACACAGTTGTATTTTCTTTATTTTTTATCTCTGACGTGTATGCACATAAAGAACGTTTGTCTTAAAATAATTACTTCCACCGATTATCATATTATTTTGTCATGTGAATCTGTACAAATTAAAATGTAAAACTATTTTAGTATTCTGTTCTCAATATATAGATTAACACTTAATACTTTGTATAAAATGTATTAATTACTATGTATATACACCAGTGGTCCCAAATTGTTTTCATCGCGACACATTATTATGATAGTTATTATCCATCGTAACGACATACTTTGAATCGCCTACTAAGCTGATTTTTAGCCATTTAAATCATCTTAATTCAATAACTTAATGTTAAGATGAAAATATATAAACATCAAGTGATAAACTAAATGGTTTTTAAAGAAAAATGAATCTTTGGATACCATATGTAGAAAAAAAACAACTATAAATATTTCAATCAACATCAAATATTGATTAAGTTGGAGAAGTAACTACTGATTTGATTTTTAAAATAATTTTATTTTCTCATAATTTTAAAAGAAAAAAAACCGTTATTGCATCAGTATTCCCATTATTTCTCAATATTGAAAAGTCGATTATAGGTGAGAATTTATAAATGTAAGATATAGACGGGAACTTAATGTATATCTATAAGCTACGATAAATCATTGCTAACGGTAAAACGATTATAAACGGAGTTCAGTTGGTAGTGTTGCTTTGTCAACAATATATACGTCATATTTTAATAAAATAATTATATGCATTAAACATTTTCTTTAATAAAATTTGTTTGATATTTTCCAATTCTCTCGATTTTCCCATGTTTTCCTGGTTTTACCCATTTAATGGTTAAACTCCTGGATAAATCGAAAAATGGCCTCCCTAAAGTACCATTCCGGTTTGATTTCATTTCTAATAAAGTTCTCTCATTGAAACAACAGTAAAATTTCTGGTACCAAAGTTATCCAGAGAAAAAAATAAACATCATTGTAAAACTATAAGCTTCTTCGTTCCACTCAGAATCAATATTAATAAATATTTTCCATCTTTGCTCATTGACGGATATGATTAGGTGGGCAATAATTTTGCAGTAAAATCAAATGCAAAAACTCGTCTCGGATTAGTAGAGCAATCACAACTTATAAAAATTTAATCTAATCGTTAATTGA